GCCACTTGGAAGACATTGTTCTCTAAATCATAACAATATATAGCTTGTGGAGCATTTAGAGTCATTCACTTCTGGAGTAAAGCCGTAAGAACTCAGGTGAGAAGTACTGATACACAGCTGCACCACAGTTGTACTGAGGAAAGTAGAAGGGGTGTGTCATGTCTGAAAAAATGTACATTCTATGATAATAAGAAAAAAAATTCAGCCTCTATTACATCCAGCCTTTTGATACTATCATTCACATCTTCTATATCTCCATTCTTTACATTGTAGCTGTTATTATTTTTCCACCAACCCGACACTCTTACACTGTAATTTCAAGCTTTTGAAGCTTTTCACATGTATTTTAAAACTCATGCATTTAGCCTTCTCCTTTTTATGTTTTCAGTATTAAAACATATTTCTTAGTATTTTCTCAGTATTTTCCCTTCTTCACTTTCATGCGCTTCAACATTTGATCAGTTCTTATGCTTTGTCTTTCTTCTGTTATGACTTGATAGATATGCATAAAATTTTTCTTCTGTGTATTCACATCCTTCAAATCAATGTCTAGAAGGGAACACTGTATAATGGCCATCCCTTCTTTTGTTCTTCCCCACTCCTCTTTAAATATTGAAATAATTTAGAACTAAGGATTCATATTATTACATTTAAAACGTTAAATAGGCACCTTGTGTTTTAATAAAATATTTTCCCATAGCTTCTGCAATATTTTTTTATTTTGGGCTAAACTTTCTTTTACCAATTCATTATTAAACACTGTTTAATCATAAAACCTCATTGTACAGTTTCTGGGTTCCTTATTTTCACATACTTCTCAGTAAACTTCAGTGAATATTAATAGTAGATAAAACATAAATTCTATCTGAGATTACAGAAACTGTTGACCTTTTAAAATAATAACTATAGTTTTAGAGTCAGGAAGAACTAGATTGAAACCTTGGCTCCTCCTGGTGCCTGCCCTGACTTTTAGAAAAATATTTGCAACTCTCTTGAGTCAGTTCCTTAAGTATACAGTGGTGGTGGTATCAACTACATTACACAATTTATAAGGATTAAATCAACAAAAATATATGAGCACCAATTATTGTGCCAGGTACACAGTACCCAATTAGTAATAAATCATTATTAATCTGTATATAAAATCATTTTTAATATTGCTTACATCTTAATATCATATTATGCTCATTATAAATATTCAATTAAGCTATTTTTAGTTTTTAGACATAATTTATAGACAATTTAATGGATAAATCATTACAGTACAGTAGAGTGCAGTCTTATAGGTGTATTTTCATACACCTATATAACTATCGCCCAAATCAAAATAAAGTACTTTTCATCACTACTGCTCCTTCAAGTCAATTACTTCTCACCCCCAGAGGCAAATGCTTTCTGATTTGTATTGTCACAGATTAGATTTGTTTATTCTCAGACTCCATATAAATGGAATGCACCATATATAGTTTTTTGAGATTGTCTTCTTTTGTTTAACATAATATTAAAAAAGATACACTATTTTGTAGCATGCATCAGAGATTTTTAAACTATGGTATAGTATCTCATGGAATGAATATATCAAAATTTGTTTTCCCAATACCTTATTTATGGATATTTGGGTCATTTCTAGTTCAGAGCTATTATGGCCAAAGTTACTGTGAATATTCCTACAGAAGTCTTTTTGTGGATACATTTTCATTTCTCTTGTGTAAATACTAAAGAATAGAATTGATGTCTCATTGGGCAGATGTGTATTTAGCTTTAATAGCATGCCACTGAACAAATTTATGAAATGACCACACAATTTAACTGACCCACAAACAAATTATAGCTGTTACTCATCTTTACTATCACTGATATTTTATAGGATCTACTTTAATATATAACCTTATCAACTTGCCTGTACTCAGTGTTGCATGTATAGCTTTTTTTCTCCATTCCTTTTAGAAAAGCAATGTGTTTACACTTCTCTTGTAGACATGTCAGTCTTGTTTTTGAACCAGTTTGACCATCTCTGCCTTTTAAATAAAGTGTTTAGTCAATTTACTTTTTGTCATAATTATTGATACAGTTGGACTCAAGTCTATCATCTTCATTATTTGTCTTGCTTTTAGCTCTCTGTTTCCCTTTCTTGATCTTCTTTCCCATTAATTGGGTACTGTACACTTAGACTTGTATTTTACCTTCTCTTATTTCAGATTTTGGAGGCTTTTCCCTCATTACTCTGTATCATCTGCCATGTTTGTTTTATTTATTTATTTATTTATTTATTTTTAAGGTTTTCTTATGTATTTGATGCAGGGTCTCACTACACAGCTCAGACTTGTAGTGATCCTCCTGCTTTCAGCCTCCCCAGTGCTGGGATTACGGTGTGTGCCACCACACCAAGTTTCAATTGCTGTCTCAGCACCCCCGGGGGTGGAGCCGGTGCAGCATGTGTTGCCAGGAGCCAGCCCCATTCCCTGTGCTTGCCTAGGCAGATGCTTACTCTGATGAGCTATCTCACCAGACCTATTAATTTATTCATTTCCTACCTTGGATTGCATACCAGATAGACTACAGAATGGGGTAAACAGTACTTTTCTGTGTATCAGGACGCCCGAAAGTTTGTTTGGCTTGCTTTAGTGTGTGACTTGCTTTATTGCAGTGGTCTGGAACTAAACTTGCTATATCTCTGAAGTACACTTGTATAATTATTTAAAATAAAAATTCCATCACAGTGTAATAAAGACTGTACTTTGCCACATATTGCCTCTACCTTTACTGCACAATTTTACATGTTATTAATCAATAAAAAACACTTTGCACACTACTTGAAACCAAGGCAAGAATAAATTTCTCAGGTTAGCTGTATTACTATGCCAATAATGAATCCAAATTCATTATAATCAAATAGAAGTATTCAAAGAATATATATTTATTAACAAACATACTGTTGATTATACAAAAACATTTATCATTTGATACTGTATTAATGTGCAAATACCAAAAAGGCATGCTAGTTCTTTATCTAAAAAGTCATGGCTGGGCTGGAGAGATAGCTCAGTAGCATAAGCAACTGCCTGGTAAGCACAAGGTTCTGAGTTCAATCCCCAGTCCAAAAAAAAAAAGGAAAAATAAATAAAAATAAAAATAGAAAGTCATGACCAACATTCCATCGCATGAAAACTACATCCATGTACTAGAAGTGTTGGAGTATAAGGCTCTTAATTTTTTTCAAAGGATGTGATATCTTATTTTTGATGCTAAGTAATAGGTGGATACAGAGGAAATACTTTTGAAAGAATAATCAAAATTTACAAATAATCTTTGATAGATAAAACACAGGTATCTATGGTAATATACCCACTCAAGATTCCATTGGCATTTCTTACAATAATAAATATTTTCCAGAAGCTAAAAGCAACACTTATTCACGGGTCAGATGGCCCTTTGTTCTACCCCACTGACAAGAGAACTACCTTCCTTTAGTGTTTTCAGTTTTCCTAGATGGATCTTGTTTTCCTGAACCCTAGAGAAGACAGTCAAAGGTGGAGTTTCCCACAGGGCACTCTAGCCTTGCAAAGCTATGCCCGAGGAAGGGATTATTCCCGGACAGCTGCCCCTCCATCGTTTACAATCAGCTGGAACCAGCTGGCAGAGGTAACCAGGAGTGAGATCCGTGTGCTTCCTGACAAGAGCCTCCTTCCTCCCACACACCCTACTTGGTCCACTTTTACTCCTTTCCACTGGGAAGTCATCTTCCCTGAGCTACAAGAAAGAGAAACATCTGATCTCCTGACATGCCTTGCCTGGCATTTCATGGTTTGAGCAGTTTTTCACACATGCATGATTGTTTCAAGGTTCTTGGAATTTTTGCTTCTGCTGCTCTTTTTGCCTGGCATACCCCTTACCTTTCTGTGCCTCTTTCACCAGACTTGACTCTGGGATGTTCCAGGAGGAGACCCTGACTGATTCATTTTTGTTTCCACTATGTCTGAACACAGCGACTAGCTCAGAGGAGGTGCCAAATAAATATTTACTCGACTAATGTAAACTGAGACTGACTCACCCGTCCCGCGCTGTGTCATGATATATGGCCGTGTCACTTCCTCAAGGTGACTACTTCTGCTTGTCTAAGCTGAGTATATCACAACTGACTGCCTTTGATTCTTTTACTGTTTTGGGAGAGGCAGGGTTATGGCTCAAAATCCTTTCTTAAAATTAACTTTTTTTTCTTGCTAATTGAGTGGAACATGCATAAGCAGAGTTAGTCTTATAGTATCAGAAGATAATAAAATATTTCTTTTGTAACTGTCTCACTAATCAGATAGTGTCCAATATTAATTTTGTAATAGGCAAAGGCATAACAGAGACTTAGTTAAGAAAAATCTCTAGGCTCCAGCCCCACCCCCGGGTGTGCTGAGCTGGCATGCTGAGCCGGTGACCAAGTCCGGGCATGGTGTCACATGTCTGTAATTCCAGTGCTGGGGAGGCTGAAGACAGAAGGATCACTATGAGTCTGAGCTGCAGAGTGAGACCTTGTACAAAA